TATATATATATATGTATATATATATATATATATATATATTCCTTTTTTGTTGCCCATTTTTTAGGGTTTCAGATGTTTGAGATGCTGAGGTTTGTATTAAATCTTTCCATCAACATAGTAAAAAAATGTATTAAAGTTTATTTAATCCATACTGTCTGTGCTGTAGTTAACAGTGACACTGCTGTGGTTAACGTGGCATAAACTTGATTGTTCATAAGTTTATCATAAAATCCTCATGTAGTTGATCTTAAATCAAATCAGATATCATCGTTGACATGTTACATTACGTGCTCGTCTTTATTTATTTATTTTTTTTGTCCCATTAAACACTTTGGAGCCCCTCACATTTAGAAAGGGGTGTTTAAAAATGGAGTCTGTTAAAAAACAAAAAAGCCCAGTCCACAAACTCTGCTCACATTCAAGCCTACAATCAATGATTTAATCAGAGTTTATTGTAACTGCATGGCGGAAGGATCTCGGAGTGCCTTTGGATGAAATATTGTTTTACACCAAGTGTAAATAATTCATTTGAAACCAAACCTTGGCAGAGTTTGATGTTGTTGTGATGCTGGATTTACGACAGCACAAGTTTCATCAATAAGAAATGACTGTAAACACTACTACTGCTTGAAAAATGAAGAACGTGCTGGAGAATGAAACAGGACGCTGTTGGACCACTAGAGAGCAGCCCAGGTCTGTGGAGAGGACAGCAGAGATGGTCCAAACCCAATTAGCACACATATGACAATTTAAATAAACCATTAGTTGTTCTAGTTTCAATCAGAGCCCACTTAAACATGTTATATGATGAGACGTGATCACGCGTTTTGATATTTAACACGTTGGTTTAATATACTATATGGTATGAATAAAAACAAATTGGTAAGAAAGAGGTGGTTACAAAGAAAACAAGCTGGACAAATGAATAAAAAGACCCAACATTCACTTTTCCTGAAAATATTTATTGATGTTTCAATCCAACTTGGATTTTTGTCAAACTTTTCATTACAGCAATGTAGCCGAATATTAAATCATCTCATGGAGTACATATATGCTGCTGTTTACTTTTATTTTTAGCTGCAGACACTTAATGAGCCACATGAAAAAACAGATTTGTTCCACGTTTCAAATATGTGGAAATGGTTTAAACTGGCAGCAATTCTTTAACTTGATAGTCCAGACAACAGATGGCAGGTTAGTTTTTGACTTGTATAAGTACTATGATTTAATGCACTATAAACATTTTACTGAGTAAAGTCATGTACATTAGTACAAATTATTAGGTTATTAAAGGAAGAGACAATCATAAAACAGGCTAAAATATTGAATATTTCACGATAAATCTTTTAAATAAGAGTGCGATCAGTACGAGGAGGACTTCCATTTGCATTTACAGTTACATTTAAATTCATTATATCAAAACATTGTTTTGAATTCCTTTCTTTCCATGATGGGTGGAACCAGGGGTGGGGAGCAGTGGCCACCACTAATACAAATTTTCTAATTTCTCCTAGGATTAGTAGAAAAAGACAATTATTTCTGAGCAATAGGAGATAAAAAAATATAAATATATATATATCTTATAAAAAAAATCATAAAATTGAATCCCCCAAAATAAGAACAACTTGTCTTAAACCAATGTCCCCAACATGATGCAGGGTCTCAGGAGGATATATGCAGAATGCTTTGTATATTATTTTTTAGAAATATAAATTTAGTAGAGGACAAACATTAATAAGATGAGTAGTGACAGTGGTTTTCCTAACAAGTAATGCCAAATGTAAATAATAATTAAAAAATAAAATTTAATTAGACCTATGTATATCAGGTGATTCCCTAATTCCTGTATTTGTCAAATAACCTAAATAGATCAGAACGAAACACAACCAATCTCCTGAGAGTCAGATCTGGCTTTTGGTTTTGATGTGACACCCCAGGATATTCCGTGGCCTCCACATGGGCCAGAACCCCCATATAATATTTTCTAGAAGAGCCACTGCTTTCCATACAGGAGCAAGAAAACACATTTAGACGCTGTGAGCTTATATAGTTTTATGTAATGGTTAAAACAGTAATTCAGAATTTTTGAAGCGAGGTGTCAAATGTTCGTGAACAATTAATATCGTGCCGGTTGTGGATAATTCTTTGAGTTTACTTAATATAACTCTAAGCAGACTTGTAAGCTGAAGGCTAGATCAAGCTGGGCCTAAACCAGTGGTAGGCAACTTTATTTTTTCCAGTTGGCCAAATTAAGACATTCAAAGCAATCAAGGTGCTGCACAAAAAACAAAAGAAGCAGTTTTATTTTTTTATTTTAGGCTCTGTGTAAACTGGCTCTTGTGACAATACATTTATATAAATAAGCAACGACTTAAAAAATAAGTTTTAAGCAATCTTACTCCAAAGTTTTTTTTTTTTAAATCATATCCAAAATGTTTAATTTGGACTTCCTTAAGTTTAATTGAAAAACTGCAGGTGCTCATCAACTTGTCTAAAAGTAGTTCTATTTTTCTTCCATTTAAGGATTTCGGGGGCCGGATGGAGACTGCCTGCAAGCCAAAAGTGGCTCGTGGGCCACATGTTGCCCACATCTGGCCTAGACCAAAGTGAATTACTGTTGCCTAAAACATCCTCAATCTCAAAAACTTCATAGCAGCGAATTCAAATGTCATTTTAAAAAAAAGTTTATGGTCTTTAATTCGTCATTAGTTACCACGGCAGAAATATTTACATTTTTCTTTGTGAAGTGGGCTGCACACGAAGCGCTACGGTTAGCTCAGCAGTTACTTGTAAATAACCACAAAATTCTACATAAATTCTGTTGCAACGTGGAACAAACAATGGCGTCAAAGATTTTAAATTGCCTTTGCACAAACTGCTTTGGAACTTGAATTCCTTCACACCAAGCGCTTTCAGAAGAGCCATCTGCAACAGGTAACATATTACTTGTTCAGAAAAGATCTGGACCTTCAGGTTCCTTCACTTGATCATCAGGTAATACAAGTTAATTTAGCAATTAATGAATTAAATTTACAGATTAAATGTTACCTCGGCTGCATCTAGGCAACTGACAAACAACTTTTTATATTTTCAAATTTGACTTAATGGTAGAATAAGAAGAATAAAAAGGTAGAGCCGAATTACTTTCAGCCTACTTCTGTCAAGTTTCAAAATAAAAGCACACAAACAGTAAACGGTAACTGGTGACTCATGGACTAACTGGAACTTCACGCAGCTTCACATTTTACAAGATAAAAAAAACGATAATAACGAGACACACAAACTGCCATTAGCCTGAATCACTTTTATTTAAAAAAAGAAGTTTTTTTACAAGACAGCCATATGTACAGGATATAAAACGGCAAAGTGTTGCTGCTGGTACTGACACAGCACAGAACTGGGAGATGTTTGGACTTATTCAAAAGGCACACGGGCTGGATGCGAGTCACAGACTCATGAGACATTTTGATGATTATTTACCAGTTTTTATGGAAACCTTCATGTTTTGGTCAGAAAGTTTGGAAGTGGATGTCACACTCATCAAGTGATGAATCTTTACCCGCCTAAATGTCAAGAATTAGGTTTTTGACAAGTTTGGATTCATCATCACTGGAGGAAAAAAAAGTGAATTTATCCTCAACTTTCTTCTTCAGAAACGAGTTTAGCTTCTACAGGAACAAATCTTATAATTTGGATTTCAGCAGCATCAACTCCTTCAAGAGTAATTTACAAAACCATCTTAAATTACATTTGTCATTTTTTTAAAAAGTGGGGGGAAAATAAAGATATATATATATATATGCATATTTTTACATTAAAAAGGATTCGGTTCTTGACAAATACTGTACACGCTACAGTAAAGCACTTTATTTTAACAAATAATAAAGCAATTAATAATAAGTTATCTTACCGACTCCAAAGACATGGGGGGTAAAAATCTGCTCTCAAATAATTTACAGACCAAGTTTAAAATGGTCAATCTTTCTTTTGGAAAACAGCTTCCAAAAATATTTCAGTTTGATTGATAAGGAGAATTATTTTATGGGACAATGCAAACGTGAAGCAAAACACAAAGAGATCAGTAAAACTGTACAAACACATGGACATCTCAAAAGAACATTAAAAATAATACATAAAGGCAAAACACTATCCCTAATAAGCAAGACTATAAAACGCTTAAATATTAACAGGTATGTCTGACGAAAGTTGTAAAAAATAAAATACAAGTGATGGGAACTTAACAGACAAAGCTGCCAAGAACAAGTTTCAACTGAAACTAAAAACAAGAGCCTTTGTGAAAAGCAAAACTTTCACAAGAGAGAAATAAAAAAAAAGCTGTTAAACAATATTTTAGTGGTAAATCAGACATGGACCCAGAGGGTACATGTTCACTGTGTTTCAGCGGAAGTTTTAAATGCCTCGTCTTTAACCCTCCTCGGGGCTACACAACAACCTGTAAAGACTACACGAGCTGGATCGGTACATTCATAAAACATCTGTCCATGTAGTTAAAACAAGTATTTTAAACTCATACAGCAAGATGGTTAAAAACTAGGGATGCACGATATTGGATTTTTGGCCGATATGTTAAAACTTATTTGGCTGATAACCAATACCAATACCGATTATTCCCCCCCCCCCCATTTTTGATGGAATGGCCGATGTCCGATATTTAATTTTATCGCCAATATCAGTTGATACCGATACACGCCGATAATATCGTGCATCCCTATTAAAAACTCAACTTCCAGTATCTGTATATTCAAATTACTGAAACGTAAAAGTTGAAATTAAAGGCCACAAAATGTCTACCCACACAAACTGTCAACACCAGAGAAAATTATGCATATTTTTAGTAATCCCCTACGATTTTTAAAGTGTATACCTAACCTATGGCTGCTCTTGGGGAATTTCGGGCAACGGCGTTTTAAACCTCAACAAGTCTGGACTTCATATTTAAATATTGAACAACAACACCGACCAGAAGTTACAGAGCAACCTGCAATGACTGTAAACTACGCAGCGTGACTGCAGCACTGCAGACACATGAACTAAACACGTCCACTTCACAGAGTCACGTCTACGAGGGGATTGATTTTCATTCATCACTTTGTTGCTGGACTCTGCTTTTATAAACCCCAGTTTGAAGCTTCGCTCGGCGATCGGACAGATTTACACCGTGGTTCTTATCCGTCTCGAGCGGCTCCGCTCTCTGTAAACTAGTAAACACTAAATGAATAAAAAAAAGTAACGGCGTTCCAGTTTCACAAAACGGAGAAATACACCTTCGTGAGGATGATTTCAGTATATTGTTTCAGGTCCATTCAAAGCATGTTATACGCAGGTAAACGTCTGCTGTGGGCTTATTAAAACCAGTCGGAAAGTCCAGGAAATGATTTTACCACAGCGCCCAGTAGTCAAGTTAATCAGCCTCCAAGTTAGAGGTAAGATGTGTGTGTGGCGGTTTGTTTCCTTGCCTCCCCCTCCTTTCAAACTCAGGGTAGCGTTCCAAGCCACCTACACTGCAGATGATCAAAGCTGAGTGTAGAAGCTCCTCGACGCCCCTCAGGTCTGTGTCGGTCTGCATCAGGGGCTGCTGCCCGCCTCCACGTCGCTCTCATCATGGGCGCCTGTGTAAATGGGCTTCTTGTTCTGCAGCGCAGGCTCATATTTGCGTGGGGATGACCTGTTCGCTTCACTGCTGTTCCTAATACCATAGAAGAAGTAGATGAGAAAACCTAGCGAGAGAGAAAAACAAAAAAATTCAGTGAGACATTATAAAAACAGTTTGCTCCTAGCGTAGAGTAGTAAATGTAAAAAAAGAGGATTTGTGACGTTTCAAACGCACCGATTAACATCCAGACAGCGAAGCGGCACCATGTACTCAAGTCCAGCTGCATCATGAGGTAGATGTTGACGAAAACACTGAACAGGGGCAACCAGGGGAGCAGAGGAACCTTAAGAAAAAAATACATTTTACTACCGTATTTTCCACCGTACATGTCGCACCAGTCCAAATATGTCTAATAAAGTAGAAAAATCCATAAATACGTCGCTTGTTTGTTTGTTCATAGTAAAGGTGTGTCTCAGTCTAACGTTTCATTAATAAATGCACTTTGACGGTCAAATCAGCTGCATTTTCAAGCGCCGATACGTGGAAGTAGGAGCGCGCAGAGGGACGAGTCACTGTGCATTTCTTCAAATTTAACAAGACAAGCACCTAAAACATTTATTGTTTGCTCGACTTTATAGTAAAATGTGTGTCACAGTTGAACTTTTGCTTAATAAATGAACTTCAATTGTCAAATTAGCTGCATTTCGCAGGGGCGGCTCAACGAACTGAAGCTGAATTGACGGTTGCTCCAGGCGAGCTGGACGAAGGTGGTAGACTATGGCAAGCCGATTGTGTCATTAATAGCCACTTTTAACCATTACATAACAACGACATGCCATACTACTCTAGTGCCATCTAGTGACTGAAAATGGTAGTGTTCAATATTATCAATGTCAGAATGAATGAAAACGGTCATATCTCAGCCAAAAATTGGTTTATAAATATGGGGGAAACAAATCCATAAATATGTAGCTTCGGCGTATAAGTCGCAGGGCATGCAAATTATGCAAAAAACTGTGACTTATGGGTCAAAAAAATACGGTAATTAGCTCAGCTGCAAAGACCAAATGAAGAGAATTCTTTTTATTTACAAAACAAAACAAAAAAAGAGTTCACCAACATCTCTGCTCTCTGGTGAGCTTCTTACCTTGAAAGTGAGAGCCTCTTTGCTCTCCGGCTGCCTCCAGATAATAATAATGCAGACAATGCAGAGCACAGCTAAGATAACACAAGGGACCACAACACCAGCGTGGCCTTCGAGTAGATGTTTCAAACAGTTCGCCAAAATAATGCAGAGCACAGTGATGAGAACCACTGCAAACAAAACGAAACCAAAAAAACAGTTTACAGCAGAGTTGGGGATGACGGCAGTTTATTTTAACGCCTGCTTTAAGACAAACTTACAAATGATGGCAGTGGTGATGTAGACAATGGTTCCAGAGGTCTGTGTTGGGTTTTTTCCACTTGGACTGAAAAGCAGCTTGGCAGTGAAAGCCTCCTGAAGTGGCCTGTCCTCCGTCTCTGGGCCATACTCATCACTGCTGTCCCCTCCATTTACAGCCACCTTCTCTCCTTCCACCATCTCCACCAGCTTCTCCATCTGACTGGATGAATTCAGATTACCCGGCTGATACCTACAGGAGGGAAGGAAAGACGGAATGGTTCTCTCAGTTGTAACAGGAAAAATATCAATAATTTGTGTATATAACATGGGTGACCTTTGAACAACAGCTCAACACTACTTATGATATAACTAACCTTTAAAGTAGCTTTATGGGTACAAGCTGGCAGCATTAGTACATCAGCTGCCATAAAGTATCTAACACATGTAAAACACTGAGAATTAGAGAATAAAACGTGCTTACCGCAGAATTAGGACGCATATGGCAACCAATGAGTACGCCAGCAGAGTTCCTATAGACATGAGATCAACCAGTGCTGCCAGGTCGAACAGAAAAGCCATCAGAGCTGCGGGGAGGGAATTTTAGAAATTACATGTTTTAGAAAAGTCACATTGTAAAGATTACAGAGTGATGCATGTTGGAGGAAGGGGTGAACAGACAACAAAATAAAATCTGTGCTAGTGTTTTCGCTGCCTGTTTCAGGAGGCGTTATTGATCCTGAACTGACAGCCTGATAGACAGGAGGCAAAGCTGTAACCTTCACAGACTTTAATCAGCAACTCCTGACTGCAGCAGAATGACACGGCAAAAACAGCCTGAAGGCCTAAAGGAACATCAATGTGGTAAATAAGATATACAATTATCAAACACGGTCTCACCTGCAACAATACCAGAAGCAATGGTGGCCAGGATGGGGGTCTTTGTGCGAGTGTTCATCCTGGACAGAGAACGGAACAGCAGTCCGTCCTCGGCCATGGCGTAAATAACACGAGGCATGGGAAACATGGAACCTAGCAGGCTGAGAGGAGATCAGCAGTTAGCATATTTCCTCCTAAGTAAACCAAATTGTGGTCGTCGTACAGCAATTTCCCCTTCCTCACCTGGTGGACAGAGCACAGAGAGAACCCACGGCCACAATGTATTTGGCGGGGGCCCAGCCAACAAAACTGAAAGCTTCAGGCAGAGGACTGTCAGGGTTCAGCCGATAGTAGGGCATCATCATCGTCAGAGCGGCAGAGACCCCAAAGTAGGCGAAGAAACAGATAAGCAGTGAAGCTACGATGCCGATGGGTATGGACCGCATGGGGTTCTTTGCCTCTTCACCTGAAAACAACAAAATAAGGAGGACGTTTTGATCTCTGTTGTACCCACTAAAGATCTAATCCAAGGGTTCCCAACCCTGGTCTTTGGGGAACCCCATCCTGAATGTTTTAGTTGTTTCTCTGCTCCAACACACCTGGTTTTAATTAATGGGTAATTAACAGACTTCTGCAGAAAAATGATTAATATAAAAAAAAAAAAAAAAAAAAAAAGTTAAAAACAAAACAACTGGACTTATTTTTAACTGAAGACGTTTCGCTTCTCGTCCGAGGAGCTTTCTGAATTCAATGAAACAAAGAGTGTGGGATTCAGGTGATAAAGCTGTGGTGTTCTGTAAGCTACATAATGGAGATTGACACATGCAGATTGACCTCTCACTGGTCGTCATTTGTCCCATCCACAGAGGGGCCACTCTGGTCACATGGTTGGAACTCCTGATAGGTGTGAAACTGGCTGGGTATCAGTCCTAAAGCTGCATTATAAAAGTTTTTGAAAGTTGAAATCTGAGACCTCCTCTTTTTAAAGATGGTTTCTCTCTTTTTACAAGAACAACCTCCTTCACTTCCCTCTCAAACCATCTGTCTTCTCTGTTCAAAATGCGGCCATTCTGGTCCTCAAAAGAGTGTCCCTTATCTGTGAGGTGCAGGTGAACCACTGAGTCTTGTCCTGAGGAGCTGTCTCTCCTGTGTTGAGCCATGCGTCTGCAAAGAGGCTGTTCGGCTTCTCTAATGTAGAAGTCAGGACAGTCCTCGATGCACTGGACTGCAGATGCCACACCACTCTGTTTGTGTATGGGTGTTTTGTCCTTACGGTGGACCAGCCTCTGTCTGAGAGTCCTGCTGGGTTTGAAATGTACTGGGATGTTGTGTGTTTGTTGAAAATCCTTCTGAGTTTCTCTGATACTCCAGCAACATAAGGGAAGACAATGTTTTTCTGTCTGTTGTTCTCCTTTTTCGGTTTAGTATTCGTGGGGACATGTTCGGCCTGATGCTGTAGAGTTCTGATGACCGAGAGTTTGCGTTCCAGTGGGTGGTGAGAGTCAAACAGAAGATACTTGTCTGTGTGGGTTGGTTTCCTGTAGACTTCAATGTTGAGGCTGTCCTCTCTTTCCATGTGAACCACACAGTCCAAAAAAAGGCAGCTTGTTGTCATTTGCATCCTCTCTGGTGGACTTGATGTTGTCAACAAGAATAAGTCCAGTCGTTTTGTTTAAAAAATTTTTTGGATTCACCATATCCTGGATGACTGAGAATCTTCACTAGCATGAAGTAATTAAGTCACTGAATCAAGTGTTGGAGCAGGGAAACAACTAAAACATGCAGGATGGTGTTCCTCAAGGACATGGGTTGGGAACCACCGAATCACTGTAGGTGGTGTAGGTCAAATGATTACTGACCAACTTTCTTCTTACTCACTTGTCGTGGCGATGCAGTCAAAGCCTACAAAGGCATAGAAGCAGGTGGCTGCACCACTCAAGACTCCAGCAAGACCAAAAGGAGCAAAACCACCAGTGCCAAACTTCTTTTCCAACCTGAGGCAGAAAAAACAAGAAGTATTCAATGGCGTTCGTTTCATTGTTTCTGTAAGCAGCAGTGAACTTATTTTGCTCATTGCTCAAACAGAAATATTCACTTTGTAAAACAAACATGGGAGAAAGAAGAAGCAGTGATAAGATAAACCAATAGAACAGTATGTCCTGTTGATAAAACATTAGAGATGCTGTGAAAACACAATCTGAAGAAAACATGGATTAACACTTTAGAAAAATAAACTTGAGGAATTTGAAAACTGCTCAAGGAAGTAGTCAAATACTCACATGGTGATGTTGGAGGTGGAGTTCTCGAAGCTTAGGTAGTCTTCTTTTGTAAGGTTCCAGTTGGCAGTGTCCCCTTTAAAGAAACCGGATATGATGACGAACCCCAGAACCACCAGGTTGATGCCCGTAAAGATTTTGTTCACCAGCGCAGACTCGCTCACACCAAAGGCCAGAAGCCCTGAAACACAAAGTGCAGGAAGTGAGAAGAAAGAATTTGTACGCAGCGTCAACAGCTACATGGTCTGCTATGTGGGTGGATATGTTCCTGCTTTAACACCTCCAACAAATTATCACTCAGTGACAGCAGTCCTTTCAAACACTGCTACTGGCATGCCACATTAGCTGCGAGATCAGTGAAGACTGTTACGCAGTAATGATCCATTTAGCTGGGTCATTAGCAACTTAACCATCAAGGGTGTCATTTAGCTAGATTGTTTGATTTAAAAGGTAAAACCTTTAAACATTTTTACAAAAAAAAAAAACCAAAAGCTAAGAGTAAAAGCCACAGGAAACTCACCGGTTAGAAGTAAGACCAGGATTAAAGCGAACAGGTCAGGGTATTCTGCCAGCACCCCACCTGGAACTTTCATCGCCATGGAGGCATTAAAAAAGTGGGATATCTTCTGTCCAACCAGGTTGTCAAAGGTGGAGCTCCAAGCCCTGGCCACACTGGCTGTACCTAAAAATAGACAAATACATCCATAACGAGGCCTTTGCTGTGATCATTTGAGGGATCCTAGCTCCACCTGACCTACGATAAGTTCACGGAGACTGGACGGAGCTTACCTATGACATACGAGAGGATGAGGTTCCATCCTGTGATGAAGGCCCAGATTTCTCCAACCGTCACGTAACTGTAAAGGTACGCAGATCCCGTCTTGGGGACGCGGGCGCCAAATTCAGCGTAGCACAGGCCGGCCAGCATAGAGGACAGAGCAGCGATGAGGAAGCAGAGGACGATGGCTGGTCCGGCCTTTTCTCGAGCGACCTCGCCAGCGAGGACGTAGACGCCGGCGCCCAACGTGGAGCCCACTCCCAAAGCGATGAGGTCCAGGGTGGACAAGCAGCGAGCAAATTGGCTCTCCTCATTGGAACAGTCTAATGCCCGGCGGCGCAGCAGGGATTTGCCAAAGCTGGACAGCTTGTTGGCCATGTTGGCTGAGATTGAGCGTAGGAGTGGACTAAAGGTTTTAAATACTCGTCGATGTGTGTGTGACTGACAGTGTAAACAAACACCTGTGACACAGTTTAGTTTAAAGCTGCTGAAATGCTGGGGACAGATTGGGTAAGAACACGTCAAGTACTTGATTGTTGGTCCTCTGACGTTTGTGTGTTCACTGCGGCAGGAGTCACTCGAGTTCACAAAGCAGGAAGTGGCAGGTGTGTGGTCACAGTATTTCGCAGCAGACGCAGAAGATTAGGACCTGTGAGGAAAAAAACAACAAAAAAAACAACAACTCAAAACAAAGATTTATTCAGTACCTGCCAAAGCTTACACTAATGACAGCTCTGAATTTGGAATTAAACATGGAGATTACCGGTATGACTTTTTTGGTTTAACAAAAAGGAAACCAAGGCAGTATGTATTGTATTTTAAAAATACAAAAATGCTCACAATATATTTTGTGGAATATATTTTCAAATGCTCAAAATGGATTACAAAAATAAAAACAGTCAAAAAGGTGGTGACAGGAAGCAAAAGGAACACTGCTGGAAATTTACCTGAGACGTGCTATATTTCCAAAATGTCTGACATAAGTCAGCAAGCACATTTGGGAAAAAACGGGGAGAATTCAACACACAAGAAACTGTACTTTTACGTTGTATAACTTCCAGGAATTTGTCCCACCTTCCACCTTTTTCCAGCTTAGTATCACATGAGACGCAGTGGGGCACACAGAGACCTCGTGAAAACAAAAGGAGCCCATGCTTGATCCTGCCCGGTCCTAATTTTGCTTTAACAAATAAACCTGCTACGTGACACACCCCTAGGGAAACAAAAGAAACACCTAGCTTAATTCCTGACTGCGAGAAAGGCCAGTTTAACCCCGGCGTCCTGTTATTTCAGCACAAGAGGAGAAGCATGGGAAAGCGAGGAGACACGACGGGGAGGACGGCGTGAGCCAGCAGCGTGATAAGAGGAACCTGCTGCACTGGGAACAGGCTGATAACATTTGCCACTGTAAATAATAATAATAATAATAATAATAACAATTAAAAAAGGAAAAAAAAGTTAAATTGTTTTGACTGTACCTCATATCTGATAAAAGTATATGATTAACCAAATTAAAATAAATACATAAAGAAAGAAAACTGGCCTCAAGGACAGCAACCTCATTACGTCTATAGTAAGGTGCGTGTCAAGTTCAGTAGAGAGTACATCATGAATGATTACACCAGTTTTTGCTAAACACATGCACAGTTAACAGTTCAAGGACATTTAGAAGAGCCCATCTGGATGAGACGGATGCAGTGTTTCTCTACAGCGGCTGTAAAACTGAAGTAGATACGCTATATGCAAAACAACCTGATAAAAAAGGAAGTTATCATTATGTGCATGCCACATGTTCTAGATGCGCATGGTAACAAGCTTACACAATGCAAACAAAACACACCCCTGAACTAAAATGCTCACTATGAGGACATGAGCGAGTGGCATTTATAGTAGTAACTGAATGCAGCAGGTTCTGCCAGATTCCAGAAAGTTAAAAGGTGTAAAATAATTCCTCTAACAGGTGTTGTTTAAGGACAATCAAGTCCTGTTGCTTTCAACAGGCTGGTCCAGTGGTTTTTACTCCACCCCATTGAAACAAGCTCTCCTTCAAAGTAGCTCCGGCTCAGATTACCACAAAACTTCAGAACTTTTGGAATTTCACACGACGGTGGAGAGGAACCCCGCGATCAGAGCTGTGCACGTCGTAAAGTGCAAAAACTCGACGCTTGTTGGAGTTCAAACGGCTCGCCGCATTGTGCTATCTTGCACGTTTCTTCGTTCTTTCTGCCGAATCCCCGAGATCACAAGGAAGTCAACGGAAACTAGCGTGTACGGTGATAATGTGATGAACGTGCAAGAAGCATCTCGCAATCATTTCCAGCAACACTCTTTATCAGAACATGCAGCTCCAACACAAAGTATGCTGGTCAAGTCAGGGCTAGTGGATCTGATCTGCAAACAATACATTGTTTAAAAAGTGTTTACAAAAAAAAAAAAAAAAAAAGTCAGTGGAGATTACCATTATTGTTAATTAGCAAGTTTATCTAGTAATGAAAAAGTGATAAAAGCAGTGAAAATGTTTAACTATGATTAAATATGATATACTAACTTTCGTCAGAAAATGACAACAAGCCTTAAGATTAGAGTAATGGAGCTAAATCTGGATTTGGAGTTTGAGCAAACGCCAAGTCTCCTCTTTTGAAGCCATTAAATATGTGACACCTTCACATTTGAGTTCCTTCAGTCACTTTACCGTTTAGTTAGAGGAGCAAGGAAACATTACACCAGCTGCACAAACCAGGCCATCTGTGTCCACGCCAGTGTGGATGTCTGAGGCTGGTCGAGTCAAAAGTTGGGGACTTCAAGACAATTCATTCCACAATACACCCCCCACTCCCAACTTCTGCAGCTTACAATTAAATTGTCCAAATTTAGAGCTAGCATCAAGCCAATCCTCCTACCTGGAGCTTCTGGGGTTAAAAAACAAAAAGTTCAAAAATTTTGTTTATTCAAAGTTCAACAATAAATAAAGCGGCACAGTCGAAGTGTGGCCGTTTTCCAGGGAACAGGATCCAGGGTCTCACAATGTTTCAGTACAAAGACGAGATTCTATTAATACGACAGAAACAACACGACCCAATAATCAAAGCGTGTCTCGTCCCTCGCGGTTCAAAAGAGAACATCCTGTCGTGTACAGTTAAGTATTGGGGGGGAAAACGAGGACAAACAAGTGTTAAACAATGAAATCCAAATAATTCAGAGCGCCCGGCAACTGCCACAATAAACAGTCTGTCCTCAGAAGGCTGATGTGAAGCTGGTACATGATGGAAGTGCTCCCACTCCCCACCGCTCCCTCAACCTCGACCAGGAACTGAGATCTGAAGATGTTCGGGTTAAGCTAATAAACACTTAGGACCAAACTACAGTGCCCAGCTGGCTGTGATCTCCACCACACCAGCACTGAGGACACAAAAGGTACTTGAGGGCAACTTAGGCTAAAGTAGGACGAGGAGGAATTAGCAGCCTGAACTTCACAGAAACTTGACTTTTATGACAAAAAAAAAAAAAAAAGGGCAGATCTAATGGTCTCATTAAAGCCGCCTCAGTCACGTCAGCTCTTCACTAATCCTTTCCTTGTGGTTTTCACAAGGGTGCTTGTTTGTGGAAGATAGACACCCCACACGCACCCATTTGAAAAGACTTGTGCGATACTTGCAGAGATTTTACATTTCTGGTTTAAAACTGAGCAAGACTTCACTGGAATATTTTCCCTTGCCTCTGCTTCCAACAGCTGGGTCTTTGTTTTACATTGTAGCCGAGATGAACTGAAAGGCCTTTCATATCCTGGAGGGCCAACGGCGCTCCGGTTCTAACAGGCTTCAGGAGGAACGGTCCAGTTACTTGACAGCTTTGCTGCAACTGCCACGTACTCTAAGAGGATTACTCTGAGAAGTAACAAACCTGCTAACCTCATTATAGTTAGTTGTTACTCCTTGTTCCATCCTTAACATCGTATGGGTTTGTTTTGACCGCAACTGATCACAACAACGCCGCATAATGAACCCCTAACAAGGTCATCTCATGTAAAGGTAGCACTGTGAAAACTGTAAGTGTAAATAATATTATATATTCTTACTTCTGAGGATTTTTCAAAGGTTCAGTCTTGTCAAAGAGGGCATTTAAATAAATCCACCAGAAAAGCAGAACGTGACTAAGCAAGACAAGACACAGCAGACCCAAAAGAGGGCGTCGAGTGCCTTTGTTCACGTGTTCGTGCAATGACCCACCACTGAGACTGAACTGACCCACCGTTCAGTTCACCTGGTGGGAAACCACGACTGCTGCCAAATCGCTCTCCCCGTGAAATGGAATGTGACAAAAAAGAAGAACCTGTTCGCTTTCCCATGACCAACAGTACTTACATTAACACACCCAAGAACAGAAGCGTAAGCCCATATGGTAGTAAAGAGGATAAATGGCCCGTTTGGCACGTAGTGCCACATCCCGAATGCCAAGGTGTGGCCACTAAGCCACAGTGCAGGAAAAGATGGCAGAATTGCAACTTAATGGGCCATATCATAAATATACAGAACAGGAAACACAATTTACGTTTATCAAACTGAAGCATAACTCTGTATAGTTTCCAGGTCTCTCTTGTAAACGAGTCCTCATGGCTCAATGGGACTAGCCTGTTTAAATAAAGGTAGAATGAATGAATAGTTAAGTGAGCTGTTCTTTAATTGAATTTAAAGGATACTTTCTAATTAGTCAGTAATTAGTCTAACCCCAACTGTAATTAAAAAAAAAAAGCCAAAAGATATTGTCTTAAATTAGGAGCATTGCAATAATCATAAAGCTGCAGGGGCCTACATAAGCCGTTTCCATTTGTCAGAGAACCTATTTTCATCTCGGACCACCAGCTCTCGCCTCCAGTTTGTCCAGTGGACAACCACGTGAAATAGACACGAGTTAAGGTTCTCCATCGCTGTGACAGATTTCCGTCATTTTGAACGTCTGTGAAAATACGACTTCTTGTGCTATAATTTTTTTAAAATACATCTGACAACACCTCGATTAAAACCACTGAAACTAAATAACAGTAAACTACAGAAAGGTTGTTCAAAACCCCTTTCTTCCTTCAGAATGCTATTGGTTCTGACGGTGGAGTTTCATTACAGAACATTAGACCATATACTTTTATATACATGGTTTATTATCTGGGTGTCCAAAAACTTCTTTAAAACGTCTTCAGTTGATCCAAAATGCTGCTGCCAGAGTCTTAATGGGAGTCGGCAGAAGATCATATATCTTTCCAGTTTTAGCTTCTCTCCATTGGCTCCCTGTCAAATTCAGAATTGAATTCAAAATCTTAATTCTAACCTACAAAGCCCTCAACAACCTAGCTCCATCTGATATTCGAGTCCTTATCGTCCCACATGTTCATAACAGAGCATTTCACTCTCAAGCTATGTTTACACGTGCAAAATTCTTTGCCGAATTGAAATGTTTTCAGATTAAATAATTCAAATGTATCGTTTACATGATGGGCACAATCCGTTCACGATAAGAGTTTACATGAAGCGAGCTTTGATTGTGAACATAAGTACTGACATGCGCAGAGTGGTAAACTCTCCTAAAAAAAATATAAATAAATAAAAAATAACACAGAAGAAGTTCTAATTCTGGTTTACTTCCGGGATGAACCTAAACAAATCGGAGCACCCAAAATGGACCCGCGGCAGGTTTTAATGATGGTGGAGACGGTACTGCACTCCCTGACTGAGCTACAGGTAATACACATCATTTTGAGCTCTTTCAAAGTTTCTACTAGAAATATTATGTCGCTCACCGACCAGTTTTGCTTCCCCGACATGCTAATAGTATTAGCATTAGCCAGGCGGAAATGACATAGGTCGCACATGCGCAGCCAGGCCAGTTTTTCACGATTGGGAAAAAAAAAATGAACAGATTATACGTTTACATGCACACCATTTGGATTATGAATCAGCATAAACCTCCCGTCTCATTCTGATTACAAACTATTTCGGATTGAGCTGAATAAACAAAAAAAATAACCCGAACGGGGCGTTTACATGATGCATTTTTATTCCAAATGGCCGTTTAATCCGATTACTTATGTCCATGTAAACATAGCTTCAGACTGCAGGTTTACTTGCGGTTCCTAGAGTTTCTAAATGCAGAATGGGAGGAAGATCTTTCAGTAATCAGGCTCCTTTCTTGCAGAACCAACTTCCAATTTCTATCTGCGAGACATTGTCCAGTTTTAAGACTGGGCTTAAGACTTGCCTTTTTGATAAATCCTATAGTTAGGGTTGGCTTGTCATGCTGCCATAGGCTGAGACTACTGGAGGACATTTGCATTGTTAGTTAACTTTATATATAGTGCAATGTACATACTAAATTGCATTCTTCTTGAGATTTTGTCCCCTAAAAGGTTCAAAACACTGGAGTCAGATCACAACTCGGAAGGCATCATACTGTTTGATTTTATATAAGAAGTGAGCAGCTGTGTGTGTGTGTGCTGCATCTGAGGCAGGTGACTGGAAGGATACAGATGTGTCAAAATGATGGAGCAAAACGTGGCATTTCTTTATGTCTCTAACGTGTTAAATTAGAAAGGGCGTGCAGGTGTTGTTTTCTTCCATGAGCAGCAGATTCAAAAAACAGAAAATCACTCCAGACACAGTGTCACTATTTTACATCCAGGTAGAGTCTGAGGCGGCTGACGCAACACCGTACAGGCTTGGCTCATGAACGATGCTCGGCTCTGATGACGAGTCGTGACTGTCGGGAGGTCCACATTATTACAATATTTTTAAAAAAGCATCCTTACTTATTGTCGGTCTGAATGAAAGTCCGTCTGAACCGAGGCAGCAACGACCTTACGTGTCCCCAACGTGCAAATAATAAATGTCCCCGAATCAGAGGCGCTGCGTTTGCCCGCGTTTACGTTGATAACTCGCGCAACGAAACGACGAAATTATGTTTAAACAGCTACTTTACCTCTCAACGCTCTCTTCAGTCTGGGTTTAGTTTAAATGTGTACGTCAAAGTAAACGGCGCTCCCTGCGTCGTTTGTGTCTGCTCGTTAAAAAAAAAATAGATTCTTGTGTGAAACCAAAGTGCATCACCCCAGCTGCAGCAACTTCTGCTGAGCGCTTATGTGCTTTATGTAAACAACTTGCACAACACTTTAAAACGAACGCGTGCTTTTACAGCAGGAGTACCTATCACACTTGGTGAAATTTACGACGCTGCAAGTGGGGTCTTTGAAAGCAGCATTTCGGCATTCCCACGCCTTGCTAACCACAAGTCGTTAGCACGGTATGCTAACCGGCTAAGACCAAAACAATGAATGAAACCCTTAAGTCATAACACAGTCAAGAGTCAAACAACGCGTTTAAATAAATATGAGAAGGCTTAAACTGCTTTTCCACTATGGTCACTTCATATCAAGTTTCTCAGTTTCTGCTCTAGTTCTCGTGTTTTCCATTACGCGCCGACTCCCAGCTCAAATAACACACTAACTAAGCCGATTTAGGACACGTTAGCTACTGTTAATAAACTCCACGCGACTACGACGCGTGATAAGTAGAACGCAAAATTTATTTTTGGAAAATGTTCATAAAGAATGAGCCGATAAATGTGAGGAACGGTATGTTCTTTTCGAACATTGCGCCTAATACTACAACCGTCAGCAGCACGAGGATTGCATCAGTCTACTTCTTGGCGAGACGTTACAACTCGCGTGGGGAAAAGACACGAAAGCACAAGTTGAGAGTTAAAAACTGAGCGTTTGAACACATCAGTAAATGTTTACCTTTTTACGCCGTTTCGTTTGTGAGAGTGAGAAGACAGAGACGGAAGGAGAGCGGCGATGTCTTGAGGTTGCTGATGAAATATCCCCGCCTGAGCTGAGCGTGTGCGCGTGTTTTCATCATGCGTGAGAGGGCGGGATGTATAAACAAACTGACGCAATGAGGGCGGAGCTTTACGCTCGTGAATGGAAGTACAAAGACAAGATTGTGCTTCTGCCGAGGCGGCAGACGGGACAATAACAAATACTGATAAACTTCAGATGCACTTCGAATAATTAAAACAGAACGAGATCAGTTTTTTTTGTGCGTATAAACGTCAGATTAAAAACTACGTTTAACGTGCGTGCGTAAGAGTGCGCACGTGGTTTCCTGTAGTAGTCACTTCCATATATGGAAATCCGACATGTCCGACCGGTTGTTTTTTTAAACACACGCTGTTTGTTCCCCAGATTCAAAGAAAGGGGTGCGGAATTCAAACTTTCTTTTAAGTGTACATGTACTCAGTGACCTGAACTTGAAGTTAGAGGGTAATACTAGATTAGATTTGTCAGTATTTTATTATTACGTTACCTGTTGATCCTGCCAAATTTCACCGCTTCTATGTGTTTTATTGGGTTCTAGGACATAACGGTTTTAAATAAAAGATACATGAGCATATAGAAAGGATTAAGACCTAGAATTGTTTTGGAAGGTGATGCACATCACCTGCTGCTTCTCATGTTGAAAAAATGGTGAGTTTGTAGCCGTTTTGGTCAAAACCATTGTAATGTATATTACAATTATAATCACAGAAATCTGAAAGTAACTTTATGTACAATATCATGCAATATCACAAGAGGTCATGCATAGATTCATGCAACATTCATGTTGTGAATGACTCTCATTCCCATACCAAATATTAGCTGAATGTAAAAATGAGTAGTCTCTCGATTATTGCCCGGGTTACATTCCAGACACCACAATAGGTGAAAAACCACGAAGTTGGAATGCTATATATATTTTTTTTAGTATTTATATATATATTACGACTTTATAAACCCTTCCCACACTCTTGCAATGTTCTAAACTCTTAAACTTACGTAATTGTAACAACATACATATATGCACTGTACAGTACTGCAGAATTTTATATGTGTATTCACCAGTGAAGATACTACAACTTGAAGGATGAGTTCAGCTTCAGGATTATTTGCGACTTTCCTGCCAGTTCGGTGAGCTTAATAGATAAGTTACTTTTGACTTAGTACTGCCAAACTATTTTTACCACATCAGTTTCTCCACTAGTGTTTGCTCGCTCCTTTGCTGTTCTTTGAATTTTGTCAGAAAGCAGTGGCTGGAAGTACTGGTGGCTTCTGGGCGGTGTAGTTACAGTATAGACTTATTGAAAGAAAACTACAAAATAAGCACCTGTCCAAAGTATTTTTGACCCGCTCCCGTTAACGTTTTATCCTATACTGTAATATTAAACTTGACAATTGTGTGTCGTGTACAGTATTGCGTAAAACCCACAAAAGAGTGAGTCCACGAACGTTGAACCTCAAAGTATTGAGTGTATAGTCATTTTTGTGTTGACTAAGGTCAGTTGGTTGTGGCAGCCATTTAGGATTGGATTGGTTCCAGAAGCTAATCATAGAGAAAGATTCATTAAAATCCCTCCTGTGGCTCATAAAATATTTTAAGTGGCAGAGTTGACTCTAAATGGTTATTAGCAAGACTTCTAAACAAAGGCCTTGCACAATCCGTTAGGACTCACAAAATGAGTTAAGGATCAGTCTCAGCTACTACATCAAATGTTTAGCTCAGTTTTTGGAAATTGCAGCCATTTTTTTTTTTTTTTTTGCAAATGTTGAGTAGCTAAAATGGCCATAACTCGGTTACAAATATTGAGAAAGAAATTTGGTGTGGTAGTAGCTGTAATTCATCACCAGCTTATACTCTGAGCACTAACTGATTGTGCAAGATGTGTTTTTGAAAACTTTGTCATTAACCTTTGCAGTCAACACTGTCTGTTAGCAGAATATTCCACGAACGACTAGATTGTAATGAAACTCAAAAAGTAATCACTAGATGTACATCCACAACTGATTAACTTTTGGAGTCAAGCCAGTTCAAAATAGTTGCCACAACTAATAAATAGACCATTGCCAACACACAAAAAAAGCAATACAGGTTAAATTAGCAGATATTGAGCTAAAGTTTGATATGGTAGTAGCTGAGAGTCATCTCAGTACATACTCCATACAGAGTTAGATCACAAGAGATCTTGCATTATTGAACGAGATAAATCTGCTTCAAACTCAGCATGAAAGGCAGCGGGCGATATGCATTCCTTCAAGGAATGTTAGCTCATTGTTCTTCATGTCTTGAACAGAAGTAACTTTAAATAAAAAAAGGCGCGTAAATTGTATGAACTTTCTTTTCTCTGTCTCCAACCTTGCGTCCCTGTCTATGGGTACTATAGTTACCATTCGTCTCACCTTTTGTTCATGCTCAGTCACACTGCTTTGGGTTGCTCTTTCAATTTACTTCCACTTTATCAAGCTAACCCAACTGGGTGTCTCAGCAAATACAGTGAGCGTCATGGATGCACACTGGGTTCCACAGTCAAAACGGCTAAAAAAAACACAACCTAATCTCTGACCGGGCCCTCCCGTACCCATTCTGTCTGCTCACTTTCATCATGCAGGACAAGGCCAACACATCAAAGCTGACTAGTTTTATAGGTCATTGTCTTCACACGTCCCTTATGTTAGTAAATATTTTAAAAATGTATAAAAGTTACAAAAAAAAATCTCTTAAATGATTGGAACATTTTGATTAGTGGCAAAAAAAGCACAAATTGCATAGTACTGTCGTTAGATCGCAAAAATGCACAGAAACATATAAAACAGGAAATCAGTGCATTCACACCATTAGTTTGTGATCTGCATCACAAGATCACTATTCTTAGACAGGTTTAATCCACCTGTGGCCAGAATTTTAATCCCTGCGTTTCCTGAAGGCCAGCGGCAGCCAGAAAAAAAGATTAGAGGCCTTGAAAGGTTCTTGCAAACTTAGATCAGAGTAAAACAACCAGTGCTCATTATAATCCTTCCGTTTTACTCCATAAATCCTTTATTTTATTTATCTGCCATGTTTTTAATATTAAATTTGCAAGTAAAATTGTGCAAACGTCTAAAATAATGCTGCCCAAACTGTGTATGTATATATATATATATATATATATATATATATATATAT